TAAATTTTGGAGATCAGCCCTCTGTCAAATGGGGGGTTAGTGAATATCTTTTCCCATTCTGTGGGCTGCCTTTTGTCTTATTGACTGCGTCCTTTGCCTTATAGTAGCTTGTCAGTTTCAGGGGGTCCCACTTATTAATTGTCAATCTCAGTGTCTGTGCTACTGGCATTATGTTCAGGAAGCAGTCTCCTGTACCAATTAATTCAAGTGTATCTTCCACTTTCTTTTCTAAGAGATTCAGTGTGGCTGGATTTATGTTGAGGTCTTTGATCCATTTGGACTTAAATTTTTTGCATGGTGATAGACTGTCTTCTACATGTCAGCATCCAGTTACGTCAGCACCACTTTTGAAGATGATTTCTTTTTTCTATTGTATAATTTTAGCTTCTTTGTCAAAGATCAAGTGTTCATAGCCTGGTGCAAACCTGCTGCCTTTGCTTCTCCAATTCTGGGGTTGCAGGTGTGTACCACTGCTGCAGGCTTATCTCTGTCTTGATCAACTCTACTCTTTTTTATCAATAACATCCTGTTTTCAGAGAGACAGTCTGTGCAGTTTTCAGTGTGTAAAGAATAACTAGTTCTAGACTTTTGGATGTGAATAAATAATCCAGGGTAAACTTAGATACCAGGGAAGTAAAAAGAGACCACAATGAAGAAGGACAGACAGGCTGTCTAGAGAGAGGTAGCATAGTTTATAGTGGCAGTGAATGAGGAAATGGGAAACTGGTAGAGAAGACTTGGCTGGGGATGGGGAGAGAAGGAAAACACGGGAAGAAGAAAGGATGGGGGAATTAAACAATACTGATACTGATTCTTAATGAAGCCATAGGGGATTATAATACTTTATGTATAATGAAAATTATATATGATTCATTATATTTATATATTTTATATTTATGTGGAAGTATAATAGTCTAATTAAAGTTTAGTCTCTTATGGTGACAATGCTCCCTTTAAACTATAGATTATCAAATAAAATTACAATGCCAGACATGGGAAACATCCTTCTGAATTGCTAGTCAAGACAGTCTATGAGACCTTTCCCTCAAACAATACACATTACTCTTATTGCTGTTGCCCTTGATTGCACTCCAGAAACAAAAGGTAGGGCCTTCTTTCAGATGATACAATACATTTTAGACACAAGACTTTAGGGAATTCATCTGGGTCTAATCTAGAAGCCTACCTACTTAAGAATAGCTCTGAGATATTAGGAAAAAAGAGAGATGACTTTGGGAATAAATGTCTATGTCAGAAATACTTGAAAAGGATGTGTGTATGTGTATGTGTGTGTGTATTTTTGTGTGTATGTGATTCTGAGTATTCAAAATAGGCTTTCATAAATGCTAAGAAAACATTCTGCCATTGGGCCTCATCATTAACCCAACAGAACTATTATAAATTCTCAGAAATTTTTAAGTCTCCTCCAATGCTGTAATTAATTAAAATAGCCGGTTGCTATTCACATGAAGTAATATTTACATAGACAATACTTTAGAGAGAGCATCAAATTGACATGTTTACATCTTAGAAATCTACAGAAATTTAGTCTACCCACAAGTAATTGAGAAACAAATCCTCTACTTTGATCTGCAATATGCTTCTTTCAAAGTCTATATTTAGACTTTGTATACTATAAAATCAAAATAAACTTTCACTTGGAGATAAGAGAAAAATTTCTGTAATGACATTCCTGAACAATCATAAACTTTCACTTGGAGATAAGAGAAAAATTTCTGTAATGACATTCCTGAACAATCATTAACATTATACAAAATGATCCCATGTATTTTTGCTAAATATCCCATTTATTTAGTGTAAGGTAATGATATTACCTTTCTGATTTTTTTCTTAGGGACTAACACTATGATATTTGGCATTGTGATCATTTTGCATGCATTTACTTTTATAAATGTATAAATGTGTTAGTCTTGCTTAGCTCTTTTCATGTTTTATGACATTATTTCATTGTATTTACCTTCAATATCATGGATGAAGTTTTCAACAGAGAAGTATCAATAGTTAAGAATGCTTGCTTCCTCTCCTCACATAGCATCTATATACAGTGAGACGTCATGAGATCTCCCCCACCCCCTCCATCTCATAAAGTTATAGCTTGATTTTGTGCAAGTAATTGCAGTTGGTTTGTTCTGGTCATTCCTGAATTCAGGCTCTTACAAACATTCTGTTTCTTCTTCTTCTCCTTTTCCTTCTCCTTCTCCTTCCTCTTCCTCTTCCTCTTCCTCCTCTTCCTCTTTCTCTTCCTCCTCCTCCTTCTCTTCTTCTTCTTCTTCTTCTTCTTCTTCTTCTTCTTCTTCTTCTTCTTCTTCTTCTTCTTCTTCTTCTTCTTCTTCTTCTTCTTCTTCTTCTTCCCTTATCCTCAAGTCTTAAAGTGTGGGTGATATAATGTTCATGCCCCAATTGTGGCTGAGAACTCCACAGTCACTTATCTTCTATACCCTAATATATGATGAGTTTAAGTGTTAACCACTATCAACTGCATAAGAAAATTTCTCGGATGAGACCTGAGAGCTGCAATAATTTATGGGTATATAGAGACGAACTTAGAAGGCAGTTTATGTTCATTTTAGAGATTAATAGTAGTAAATTCGCCGGGTGGTGGTGGCACACTTCTTTAATCCCAGCACTTGGGAGTCAGAGGCAGGCAGATCGCTGTGAGTTCGAGGCCAGGCTGGACCAACAGCCTCCAAAACAATACAGAGATATCCTGACTCATAAAACCAAAAATAATAGTAGTAAATTCACTTCTGGAGCCAGTGAGCACCAAAACCATGGGTTGTTGTACAGATTAACAATAACAGATATGAGTTTCCTCATGTGAAGCAGGACTTAAATCCAACCAGAAAGTGGTTGGTTATCCCCATAATATCTGTGCCATTATTGCCACCAAAGACATACTTTGCCATGCTTGTCATTGTGGCAATTTACAGGATTTCCAGCTGGATAAGACAGTGAATGACATCCCCATTAGGAGACTAAATATCACTTTCTGGTCCTATGCAAGTTGGACAGCAGAAATGAAAGCTGTTTGTTAGAACCCACTATCTTTTGTGTGTGTGTGTGTGTGTGTGTGTGTGTGTGTGTGTGTGTGTGTGTGTGTGTGTATCCTTGTCCAAAGTATGGGTTGTATGCAACAATAGCCTCTTACCCTCAAGTTCTGGTGGGCAACCAAGAACAATGTTAAGGATACCATGCTCTAATGGATGGCTCCAGGCTTAGGGGCACATGTTCTCATTCATTGTCTTCAGAAATTAGATGAAGCAACTCCACTGAAGAAAATGTCCTTTTGATTTTCACACAGAAGATAAGAGCACATGTTAGTTCTAAGGTACTTGATGCAAAAGCCAAACAGGAAAGATTTATGCATGCTTCTGATCTCTCTAATCTCCAGGAAGTGTACTTAATTAAATTAGTTAGAGTCCCATATCTTATTATCTTACTCAATTGTATGTGTGCAGAGCACAGATGCTATAGTTTAAAAATAATGGGGACAGATACATGTTGGGAAAATAAATTCAATTAACTAATAAATTTGAGAAAGTGCTACCTGAAAAATGGCAAACTGGTTGAGGTAAGCATAAGGGAAAAGAGTTTTGATCCTATTCTGTATAAGCAGTGTAGAATTATTCTATTTCAGAATAAATCTGAAAATATCCTATTGACTGATGGTGCTACAGCTATTACACTGTCTCAGAAAAATAGACAATAAAATCTTAGGAGTTGCAGCCTTACATGGTGAACTATCCTGGAGACTTTCTGGTATGAGAAGAGAGATATGGACAAGACAATTTATAGAAGAAAGAGTTGATTTGGGCTCATTGTTCCAGAGGCTTAGAGTCAGTTTAAATGGGGCAAAAGATAGCTATAGAAACACAGATAATGTATCTTGAACCACAAACATGAGCAGAGAGTAATTCATCATAGCAGTAGAGAAGTAAATAACATTGATGAGGATAAGAGACACAGGAGATTACTGCAGGTTAACAGGCCAGTTAGCCTGGTATGCATAGAGTGGAATAAGAGACATTATGTCAAACAAGGTGAAAGGTGAGTTCAGACATTATTAGTTATTGTCTGATTTACAGACACGGTGAATAAAAACCTTACTAAAGAATGACATGAAGACAAAATATTCCATACAGTTGTGTAATATTTATGTTTTAAGCTACTTATTCATGTGTGTAATCACCTTTTCATGTCTAGAAAATAATTTCTCTACAGAACTATCTCATACCCATAGAATCTTTTCATTCTTCTTTTACAAAGAATTCCTAAGCTGTGAGGAAAGGAGGTCTCTTATTCTCTGTACATAATATTTGTGCTTCTTGTATCAAAAAGCATCTACAAAAGGGAATGAATTGTTATTTTGAAAAAATCAAACTATAAAAATGCCACTATTGCCTTCACAGCTGGTGCTCTTCTCAGAAAGTCAACTACTGTGACAACATGTTCAAGGGTATTCCCCATTTTCTCTCCTATTACATTCAGTGTATCTAGTTTTATATTGAGGCCTTTGATTCCCTTAGACTGTAGTTTTATGCAAGATGATATATATGGAAATGTTTGCATTCTTCTACAGATGCAGATATCCATTTTTGACCTGCACCACTTGTTGAATAAACTGTCCTTTTTCAAGTGTGTATCAAAATCAGGTATCCATTTGTGTTTGGGTTTATAGGTGTCTTCAGTTTGCTTCAAGGTAATTGTTTGTATGCCAATACTATGCAGTATTCATTACGATAGCTCTGTAGTACAACCTGAAAACAGAGAAGCAGCTCTGTAGGGCTAGTTATGTCTCTCCAGCAGTTCTTTTATTGTTCAGGATTGTTTTGACTACACTGTGTTTTTTGTTTCTCCATATGAAGTTGAGAATTGTCCTTTTAAGGTCTGTCAAGAACACTCTGAAAGTTTGATGGGGATTGCATTGAATCTGTAGTTTGCTTGTGGTCAGACGACCATTTTTACTATGTTAACCCCACAGATAAATGAGCATGGGAGATCCTCCTGTCTTCTGATATCTTCTTCAATTTCTTTCTTCAAATCATTTGAGGTTTTCCAATGGACCAAGTTCCTGGAGTACAATTAAAGTGAAGGAGGAGTGAAAATATGAACAAAAGAGTCAAGATCATGATAGGGAAATCCACAGAATCAGCTGACCCAAGCTGTCAAGAGGTCACTGACTAAAGTCTGACAAACTGCATAAGACCTAATATAGGTGACAATGGTGTGACTAGGACAATATATGAGGCCACTGGCAGTGAATCCAAGATCTAAATCTAATACACAAACTGACTTAGTGGAGCCCATTCCATATGAATAGATACCTTGCCCAGACTATCACAGGGGTATGGGGGTGGAGAGGTGCCTTGGTCCTGCCTCAACTAGATGATGGGACAGACTTAGTAGACTTCCTAGGGGAGGAAGAAGGAGTAAGGGGAGGGGGAGAAGAGGATTGGAATGTAAAAAATAATTTAATAAAAATTGTCTTAAATAATAAAAATATTATAAAAGAAAAATGCCTCTATTATGGAAGTTCAATATTAATTTATGAATGGACAAAGATACATTTTTATAAGTGGAATGTGTCCTCAATATATATTCATGCTATTGAACAGTAATGCCCTGAATTTCTCCTTTAATCCTTGGCTAACACCAAACACTTTTCAATCTCCACAGTCTATATTCCCAGTAACTGCTCTATCTAAGCATCCTATTCCTATCTTTTACATTATATCTTTCAATAGTTCAATAGTTACTTGTCCTAACTTTCTTTCTAATGCTCTAACAAAACATGCTGTGGAAGTGAGATTTTATTTCAGTTTATAGCTTGTAGTCTATCATTGACGATTTTTAAGACAGTAACCTTGACCCTGGGATCATGTTTAGCTACCTTGATTTTATAGTCCAAACCAAACTGCCTATAAATGGTCTATCCAAAGTGGGCTGGACCTCCCACATCAATTAGCAATTCATAAAATACCCCACAGATATACCTATAGGACAATGTAATGTAGGCAATTCCTCAATTGAGTCTCCCTCTTCCAAGGTGTGTCAAGTTGACAATAAAACTAACCAGGGAATATATCATTAGAATATAAACGCCTATAATGTTTAGTACAACATGTAACAGAGAGTTGTAGCCTTGCAGATAAGGATATATCAGATAACCTGGGTGTGTAGTCAAGTGGATCATCTAATTTAGTGTTGTGTTCTCCATGATGCTCATACAAAATGAAATAACCTATTGAGACATCTTTCAGAATATGCCTCCATCCTCCAATATTAAGCAATGTATTACCATACTATAAATATGTAGGACAGATTGTAGGACATTTCAGCATACTTTAAAGTGAAATGAATGTTTTCCACACTACAAGGGTTAGTTTTAATTGTCATTGTGACACACTGTAGAATCACCTAGAAATAATCTTAGTGAGATTGTCTATATCAGACAGTCCTATGGGCATTTCTTTGAAAGATTATCTTAATTGCTCTAATGGAGGTGGGAGTACAATGCCCACTGTGGGCAATAGATCCCCTGGGTTTGGATTCTGGACTGTATAAAGGTAGAAGAAACAAGCTGAGCAACGATCATGAATGCATTTTATTTCTCTCTGCTCTTGACTGTGGATGTAATGTAACTAACTGCTTCTGACTTCCAGTTCTGCCTTCTGCCTGGACTACCATGCACTGATTAACTATATGACCTATATCTAGTACACACTATATTTCCTCTACCTGGACTTCTATGCACTAATGAACTATATGACAAATATCTGTGAGTTTATTGCACACTTTATTCCCTAAGGTGCTTTTGTTTGGTTTGGTTTTTCTCAAGACACGGTTACTCTGCATAGCTCTGGTGTCCTGGAACTCACTCTAGACAGGCTGGATTCAAACTCACAAAAAGCTGCATGCTTCTGTTTCCCAAGTGTTGGGCGGGCATTCAACACCACCACCACCACCTGGCTCCTTTTTGTCAGGCTTTTTTTTTATCACAGCAACAGGAAAGAAACTAGAATATCTCCCAGTTTGCTTCAGAGTTATTAATTTCCTGGCCATCCAAAGGGTGTATTTGATGGGACAGACACAGATATTACAGGATCCTTTCCACTCAGGTGACACTAGACACAAGTTTCTCTCTTTGTGTTCAGGTCAGAGTCCCTCTTGATATTACATGAATGTGTGTGAGAATGAGGGTTTTTGTTATTTGTACATTTTGTGCTTTTATTCGCTCAGCTTATTCCCTTTCATTGTAACTCTTCATCAGGATTAACACTAATAACCACATGACAAAGTATATACTAGGCCACTGTAAAGAGAAGCTTTATCCTTGAGAGAAGCCTTCCCACCAGCCTGGTTCTAGAGCCGCATCAGTCCCAAATAAACACACAGGAGGCTATATTAATTATGAAGCTGTTGGCCTTGTTTGCTTCTTACTGGCTAGCTCTGACTTAAGTAATTACCCCGTAATTGTTAATCTAAGTATATCTCTTACCGGAGAAGTTTCCGGGCTTCCTACCCCATGGCGTCACATCTTGACTCTCGTGTTTCTCCTTCCCAGAGTCCTCTTGGACTCCTAGTCCCACCTATCTTGGTTCTCTATAGTAGGCCAACAGTGCTTTATTGACATAATCACGGAACTTCCCCCATCAGGCCACTTTGTGTTTTCCTAACCCAATGGCATTAAATTAAAACTTCTCATGTTAGCCTCAGGCAGACTCTTCAAATGAGGCCAAAAAGCAGCTGCATTCCTCACTGAAATATCACAAGAATGATCTATAGATCACATTCTTCTCCTCTGAAACATCGTGAGCCATCCCCCCACAGTTCATAAAATCATATTCACCACCACTGTCTTCCATGCTCCTACTGGTATGGTCTGTTAAGCAGCACTTAGAGCCACTGCTTTCCTAGCCTAAGAACCAAAGTCCAAATTCCTCCAAACAAAAACATGGTCAGGCCCATCACAGAAATACCCCAGGCCCTAGTACCAAGTTCTGTCTTAGTTAGGGTTTCTATTATTGTGAAGAGATGCCATGATCTTGACAACTCTTATTAAGGAAAACATTTAGTTAAGGTGGTGGCTGACAGTTTCATAGGTTCAATCTGTTATCATCACGGTGGGACATAGTGCTTTGAAGGCAGACATGATACTGGAGACATACTTCAGAATTCTACATGCTGGAGAAACCCACAGAAACAGCTGACCTGAGCAAATGGGAGCTCACAGATTCCAGTCTGACTGCTGGAGAACCAGCATAAGACTGAATTAGGCCCCCTAAATGTGGGTATCAGATGGGGGACTTGGGCAGTCTATTGGGCCACTGACAGTGGAACCAGTATTTATCCCTAGTGCATGAATGGGCTTTGGGAGCCCATTACCTATGGAGGGCTACTCTCTCAGCCTAGATACATGGGGAAGGGCCTACGTCCTGCCTCAAATGATGTGACAGACTTTGATGACCCCCATGGGAGGTCTCTCTCTCTCTCTCTGAGGAGTGGATGGGTAGAGGGATGGGGGAGGAATGAGGGGAATTTTAGGGAATAGGAGGATGGGATGGAAAGGAAACTTGAATTGGTATGTAAAATAATATTATTTTAATTTAAATAAAAAGAAGAAAATATAAAATTGGAAAAGCACCTGTTCAATTGACTAAATAAGTTATAGAACATCAGAACATAGAAGTCCTCAGACATGTTGTCAATGTCACTTCAGTCCCATTCCCATCTCATTTATTAACAGTCCTACAGATGATTAAAAATTGGAAACAGTAGCAGATTTATTTTACTGTAACTTCTAAAATCAGGAATCAAATAAAGAAAATGGATGATAATTGTGAGTAAAAGTTTTTTATACTAGTAACATATGGTGATTTAGCTTCTTTTCTTAGTCCTTATCCCATCCTGTTAAAAAAAAGTTAGGTAGTCTATCTGGAGTCTGTATTTTCTTCCTTATTTAAGTTATTTTATTACTTTTTTAGGTGTGTGTGATAAGAAAGAAGAAACTATGAGCTCTCCCAGAGCTAGAGTTACAGTTGGTTGTGAGCTGTCCAATGTGAACGCTAGGAATGGAACTGGGGTCTTCAAACAACAGAAGGATCTGTTTGCTCATAGGCTCCATCAGTCAAAATCCTACTGACAGGACTCTTTCCTCAAGCAAGCTTTCAATATTTCCTTAACAAAGTTATCACATTCCAAATCTTACCTGCCTGAAATTATGACTATATGTTATATATGTTATATTTTGCTCTTTGGGTAACAAATCAATTTGCACATTTCCTATAGAATATTTGCAAACATTATGCAACAGATTTTCAGGCAAATATATGTCTGTCTCATATATGTTCCAAACACATAATTTATAATACATATGGTAAATGCATATATAAATATGTATATATATTTTTATATATGTAAATGAGCACACACACACACACATCTCATTTCTCTCCAGTATCTTCAACAAATGACATCTCCACGTGGTCTATGGGCTTGTGAGGACCTTGGGCTCACGGAAGAAATCCTGCAATGTTCATCTTGTTAGAATTGGATCCCTCATTAACTCAGGGTATTAAATGAAACACTTGAGTTAGTTACCAAATCAACAAAGAAGGAGCTGAGTGTCTGTACGATTAGGGAATTTATCATTTTGTCCTTAGATTAATTACATGGTTCATTATACCAGAATGTGTGCTCAATTTCAAAAACTATTTTTCCTCAGAATCTGATTCTTGCATTATGATTTCATGTTCCTTCTTTTAAAAAATGAACAGAACTGTGTGTGAGAGAGAGACAGAGACAGAGAGATTTATAGCAAAAAGTTAAATAGATAATATTATGAGAGAAAACCTTTGCCGAATAAAGCAAAAATAAATAAATAAATAAAATAAAAATGTTGACTACACAACCACTGCGGGTTTTGCTGAATAGTAATTTTCTGAAGTTATTTTTTGAGTACCACAGTCCAGTGCTACACATAACATATTATCCAAAAAAACTTATGACACAGAAAATATAGTAGAAATTTTTTCTGCTGTAGATATAGATAGAAATATGTTCTAACATAACTACCATGTTAGTGGAAAAGCACTCAAGAAAATTTGCAAATAATAAGTGCTTGCCTATAAACAATTTTATTTTGAATAACCCCTCATTATAAAACTCCTGCTTTAAGCTGACAGTTTGATTTCATTTGTTTAAACACATTTTCTCTCAATAATGGAAATGGATTTGGCAAAAGAAATCAGAGTGTTGGTATTACCGAATTGAGGGTTTTCTGAACGAAATTTGCTGAGACCAGATTGAAGAATATAATGAACATCAAAGAAAGCAGATTTTCTGGGAGATTTGTGGGTGGAGTTTCAGCAAGACTCCTCTTAAGTTTGTAACTAAACTTAGAATGTGAGGCATTTGGAGAGTTGGGCATGCAAGTCTGGCATCCCAAAAGTACACACAACTTAATACACTGAAAGCAGCTGTAGGAGAATAGTCACTATTATTTGTGCAGACACAGTGATATTGCATGTGCTTTACAGTACCCCATACATCCTGCTCCCTCCTAACAGAGCCTTTGCATTCTGCTCAGAAAGTCCCCTTATTTATCACTCATGTGTCACCCTGCCTCTCTCCAGTCAGTGGGTTGCTGGAACACTTATTAAACTGTTTCTATTTTCTCATTTGCTTTAGTAGATGGAGTATAGGCTTAGGTAACATTTATTTATTTATAAACAATCTTATTTCACATATCCATTCCAGTTCCCTCTCCCTCCCATTCTCCGAGTCCCCCATTTAACAACCCATCAACTCACCAGGGAGTGTGAGACCTTCCATGGGGGATCATCAAAGTTTGTCATATCACTTGGAGGAGGGCCTGGCCTTCCCCCATGTATCTAGGCTGAGAGAGTAGCCCTCCATGGGGAATGGTCTCCCAAATTCCATTTGTGCACTAGAGATAAATACTGGTTCTACTGTCAGAGGTCCCATGGACTACCCATGTCTCATAACTGACACCCATATTCAGAAGGTGGATCAGTTCAATGCTAGTTCCCTAGCTTTAGGTCTCAGGTCCCTGTGCTCCCAGTTAGTCAGGTCAGTTGTTTCTGTGGGTTTCTCCAGCATGGTCTTGATCCCTTTGCTCATCACTCCTCCCTCTCTACAGCAGGATTACAGGAGTTCAGCTCAGTGTTTAGCTGTGGATGTCTGCTTTTGTTTCCATCAGCTATTAGATGAAGGCTCTAGACATTTAAGTTAGTCATCAATCTCATTATAGGGGGAGGGCATTTAAGGTAGCCTCTCTACTATTTCTTAGATTCTTAGTTGGAGGTCATCATTGTAAATCTCTGAATACTTCCCTAGAGCCAGATTTTTCTTTAAGCCTATAGTGGTTCCCTCTATTAAGGTATCTCTTTTCTTGCTCTCCTCTATTCTTACCCCATCTTAGTCTTCCTGATCCCTCATGTTTTCCCCTCCTGTCCTCTTCTCCCCTTCCCTACCTTCTCCCCTTCTCCTCCCTCACTACATCCTCCCCTGCATTGCTCCCAATTTGCTCAGGAACTCTTGTCCCTTTCCCCTTCTCAAGTTAACCATGTATATCTCCCTTAGCGTCCTCCTTATTTCCAAGCTACTCTGGAGATGTGGAAATTATCCTTTGCTCTATGTCTAATATCCATATATGAGTGAGTATATACCTTGCTTGTCTTTGGTGCCCGGTTTATCTCACTTGGGTTGGTTTCTTCTAGTTCTATCCATTTGCCTGCAAAATTCAAGATTTCATTGATTTTTAGTTCTTAGAAGGCATCTTCATTCTTTGTTTGTTTATTTGAATGCCTTTATACTTTACTGACCAACTATGGAATCCTGTGTAGAAATAAATTTCTTATAAAATATGATGTTTAATTTTTCAGGTTTTTAGAACACAATATATACTGCTGGTCACAAAGAGAAGACTGATGTCTGTCTGGTCCAAACTATTAAAGCAAACGTTTGACTTCCTCGGATCATCCACAATTTTTTATCTGTTTGAAATACTTTTCCCTTCATCCTTATGATCACCATGACAACCCCTACTGTTTGTATCTTTCATTCATTATGTTAAGCATTCATTGTCCCCATTCATCTTAGAATGTATCCTCTGCTCCAGGAAATTTCTTCTATTTTAGTTTTCATAATTTCCGTTCTCACAGCTACCACTATTAATGTCTTTGTGTACTTCATTATTGTCAGGTTAGGCCTCCTGAATGGATTTTTGCTTTGTGCCTTCTATTGTTCTCTGCTCTTCATGTATGCTATAATCACAAAAATAATGCTCTCAAATTTGCCTTCTGAATATCCTTTTGAATATTTATTTCCCACTATGATTTTAATTTCCAAGAGGTCTTTATTATTCTTTCACTGTCCCATCTCTTTTTGACTCAATGAAGATAGTAATTAAGATATATTCATGTTAATTTTAAATATCTTTTCAGTGACTTGACTTTTTGTCTACAATCCTGAGGACTACATTTTTGGCTTTTTAAATCTTATCCTTTTTGTTTGCCTGTTTCTATGAACTATCCAGTGATTATTGAGTACAGACTGATATTTAACATTGAATTTTAATGAATATTTAAATTTTATCACATAAATAAGTTATTTCATTGAAAAGACTTTTTAAAATAGTGTATAAGAGTTCAACATGAAAAGCAACTCATGAGGGGAAAGAAAATATCTCTTTTGCAAGGAGCAAGGAGTTTGGTTTTGAAGTTGTTGAGGCTGTTAATCATGCCTGAAATCCATGAAGGGGCCATTGGGAGGGCAAGAAAGATTGAAAGTAGGAAATGAAGGTACAGTCTATTCATGAAATTTGTTTTTCTTTCTCGGGGGAACCTCAGATCTATGTTTTTAAGTCTTTAAACTAAATGAAACAGTCCCACTCAAACTGTCAGGAAGAATCTCTTTCCCTCCAAGTCTACAAACTAGTTAAAATAATCCCATCTGCAAATGGTTCACAGCAGTTCTGAGTTGTGGTTGAGGGTCTTGACAGAATAACATAGCACAGTGGAATCAATGCATGAGGGCTATCACCATCATGCAGGTCTCCATCTTTTCTACTGCAGGAGCACAAAGGTTAGATACACAAATCCATACATGGTCCAGATCTCAGGATCAGGAGGCAGTTCCCCGATGCTTAGATGCTCAGGTTCTACTTCTCATCGCTGCCTGTGTTCAGCAGCTTCTCTGGAATCTGCCTGCCACAGACTGATGCTCAGATGAACAGGAGGAGGAAAATGGACTTCTTTCCTATCTTCATAACTCCATTATACTTATAGTAAGAAATTATTGCTTTTCTGAAACAAAAGTTATTTTAATTATAATGTGATTAAGGGATCCTAATTAAATTCAAGTATTCATCTGGAACTTCAAGAAATGAGAACAAATATGATGAAAGCCAATAACTTTTAAAAAATGAGAAAGACTTACAAGCTCCACCACAATAATGTATCAAGCAATTAGAACACGTTTTTCTAGAAACCCTGCCTTCTCACTGGAGTCCACAAAACTACCAAGTCAGACTGTAGATCTGACACCCGCACTTCAATCTCCCATCTGTCTCTTTCTCTCTTCATAGGCGTGTCAATCACTCAAAGTTTCTGCCTGAAAGTCAGTGATGACCAACTGTCATCCCCTTCAAGGCTGAGGTCCCTAACAGGTTGGAGGTGGATTGGGCAGAGGTGGGGTCAGGGGGAACTGTAATTGCTATGTAAAATTAATACAATAAAATATTAAAAAAGAGTAACTGAGGTATTTGATTTCCAGCCTTTACAGTATCATTTTCAGACCCCCCAGAGGCATCAAAAATTCTCCTAAAACTGGAGTCCCTGAGATTCCAGGAATAACTGAGCCCCACAGACTCTCAGGACACAGCTATCCAAATGAGGGTACTACCTGGAGCAGCAGATCGTTGTGTGAGAAACACTTTGATTGACCTCAAGTGATGACAATGCCAACATCTTCTCTGTCACCTTTGCAGAATCAGAATGTGACACTGATCAACTCCTTTGTCATACCCAGCTTCTGCCTGCACCATAATTCTTCCTCTATTTAAATGTAAAGTTGATGTCAGCACCCCCAAAAAGTACATTTGAGGTTACTGGACCCCCAGATCTATTTGTGCATATGTGTGTGTTACAATAGTGTTTAAAATAGAAGTGATCATGAACTTGTGGTGGGAGGACATATAGGTATCTGGAGAAGGGGTGGGTTTAATGTCAATACAGTACTCATACAGAAAATTCCAAAGCCAACTGTTAAATTTATACAAAACATTCTAGAGTTCCCATATGAGAGAAAAACATATTTTCCTTCTCATTCTGACTTTTTTGTTAATGTAATGATTGTTAGTTGCATCTATGTTCCTGAAAAATGACATATTTCATTTTTTTATTGTTTAATGAAACCATGTTATTTATAAGTGAATTTTATTTGGTCCCAATGTCCTTAAATACATAATTCAGAATGTCTCTAATTTATGAAAAACTGCCTACAATAATATGTATTTGACACCACTTTACACACACACACACACACACACACACACACACACACAGAGCCTCCTGTATGTTAGATTCCTCACAGACCACTACAGTCTATAGGGAGCTTGGTCATCCCAAAGGGAAAACAAAGTTTTTTATAAAAATACAGAAACATGAAAGCCATTGCAACATGATTCTTTATAATAGCAAATCCTCTAAATAAAATGAACTGAATAAAGAAATTACATCTACATGAGTGGAAAAATTAATTGTGCTATAGGAGAAAAAAACTGAAGACCTGAATTAATGTGAGACTATCAGAGACTGTTTTTTACTTATAGGGTATTATGGTCACACTGGGAATTACATATACAAATAATTCTGGATTAGTTATGTTTTTGTTGCTATGATAACATGCCATGATCAAGGCAAGATAAGGAATGAAGGATTTATTTGGCTTATAGTTCTAGAGGGGGAGGCATGACACGAGGCAGGCATGCCCTGGTGGCAGAGGACATCCCTGATGGCCAGTGTAAAACACAGGAATGAAGGGGAAGCACGTAAAGGTGATGAACCCTTAAAGTCTGCCCTATTGACGAGCATGACCATGAAAGCAGTAGCTCCTGAAAGGTGTATAACATCTCTAACACAGCACTACCCACTGGAAAGCAAGTGTCTAACACCACAGATAAAATTTTCATTTGAATCACCATGAATTCATCAGCAAATATTGAGCAGCTGTTGTTCTCTGGTATTGTTAAAACACACACACACACACACACACAGACAGTATGGAAAAAAGTCATCTTATCTACAGCTTACTAAGAGATAACCAGTGTGATGGCTAGCTTTAATTATCAACTTGAAACCATCTATAATCCCCTGTCAAGAGGTTTCAATGAAAGATTTTTGCATTGGAATGGTCTATGGGTATATATGTGAGGGATTGTCTTAATTAAGCTAATTAATGTGGAAAGATGCAGACCCCTGTGGGAGGACACCATCACCTAAGCAGGGCATCTTGAACCGTCTAATAGTGGAGAAATCAAGCTGAGTGCAAGAAATTGAGGATGTATACATACATTGATCTCTATGCTTGAGTGTGTATAAGGCAGGCTATCTCAAATTCCTCCTGCATGGGACAATAATCATGAATTGTGAGCAATAATAAACTCTTTTACCCCTAAGTTGCATTTGGTCACAATATTTTATCATCGTTATGGAAATGAAACTAATAACTCTCATAAGAGAGCAAGATCTGTGATTTCATGGACTACAGGAGGACCAAATGTGCCCTGGTGGATTGGGGTTCAAAAAACTCTTTATGTTCATTGTGTTCTTATTCTGTTTATAATGAACTGTGTAGATAAATCAGGAAAGTGTGAGGTGGAGAATGGTGAGGCAAGGGTTTGGTAAAGGAGTCACCTGAGTGTAAAAAACAAGAGGAACTGCAAGTCTTGGATTGTCTTGGTTTATGTCATTTCAAAGCAGAGAATTCAGTCCAAAGTTTTTCTCAAGGATATATTTGAGACATCACTAGGAACCCATATTGTCTACTTTGAACTCCCCCTTGATGTTACAATCATTTATTTTGTTTCCCAATTACTAATAAATGTGCGGATTTCCTGAAAACTAGAGGATAATAGAAACACCGCCTTTGTATTTTCTTTCCCACTTTTGAGCTTTAATTTAGTTCCTTCCTGTTGAGAATGTTCAAGCTTGAGCCTGTGCTGACCTTTATCCACAATGCATAGCTGAACACTTGTTGGCTTGAAAATTGTCCTTTTATTTTTTTATTTTCATTTTAATTATATGTGTGCACATGTGTCTGTGTGCAGGCATGTGCATGTAAGAACAATTGCCAGGGAAAGCTAAAAGAAAATGATGAATCTCTGAGCCAGTTATGAGATGCTCAACATGGCCATTTGAAACCAAAACTGGACCCTTTCTCTTAAATAGAAGGGCACACTCTTAACTGCTGAGCCATATTTGCAGCCTCATATAGTTTCATTTATGAGCCACCCTTGTGCAATAGGTTCTTCTCATATCGTGATTTCCAGTGACAATTTTCATAATAGTATGTGCTCCTCTAAATGGAGAAATAAGCTCTGCCCATAATCATCACATAGGAAAAGAACATTTCCTTTCTTCTAATAGGGGCACAAATATTGATCAAATAAATAAATGTAAAAGGAGGTAATCAGACACTGTTTACATAAAACTAGTAAAATTGATGAATCGT